GAGTAGTTATAGGGGTTACAAATTCATTCTATTGAAGCATATTACTGCACTTCTCTCTCTAGCTCTCACTTCTCTCTAGATATACTCTATCATATATATATATATATATATATATATATATATATATATATATATATATATTCTAGGAGTAGTTATTTTGGAAAATATTAAATCTATAACAACACTATATTTTGGAGTAGTAGGTATTCCATCATAAATAATGCTCCACACATAATAATATATTATGGAGTAGTATTGGAGATATTTGGCTTGAAGTGTCTAATATAGATATAAAAGAAGTATAAGAAAAAAATGGAATGGTAGTAAACTTATAGAGTAGCGGTATATTAGCACTTTGACCCGCCCACCATCGCGTCCCGGCTTCGCCCTTGAAGATGTCTACATTTTAGGTTTTTTAGCATATATGTGATATTACAATGCAAAATCATTGCACTATTTTAACCAAATGAAGAACAAAAAAGAAATACATGTCTACGGCCTACACATTTAAAGATTCTCGGCATATGATATTGCGATGAGAATGAAACAAATTTAATCAAAAGAAACAAAAGAAACGAGATTAAAAGAGACATGAAATAAGATAAAATTACACAAGGGAGGCTAAGGGCTAGAAAGTTTTAATTGGGTTTGGCTATTACATAGCATTAGAAATTTAAAATAACCTACTAATTTCAAACGGGACACCCGACACCGAGACGGGACATGATATTTTATAGCTATCCCGGTTCTGTCTCGATTGATATCGGTACATGAATGGTTCAGGATGAAAAAATACATCCTAAATGGATCATGATAATTTTGGAATGGTATTCAGATTTTTGCCTACCTTTAGAAAACAGTAGAATGAACATGTGAACTCTTCGGACGCATTTTGATAAATTCTCCGATGGTACCAAAGCACTCTCTCTGTCTTTTACCAGTATAACTTTGTCAAGTTTGACCGATACTTAGAATAATAAAGTAAAAAGTGTGTGGTTGAAGCTTGTGTGGAGGAAAGAGAAATAACATGAACCACAAAAAATTGATTGAAAAGTGAAAATGAAAAAATATTAAGGGACTGATGGAGTATTACATAGACTAGAGTGTTTTACTAGGATTGATTTGAGTCTATGACCAATCAAATTTAAACAGATCAGACTTGATCAGACGTTGACAATCATTACATTTGTTCCACTAACAGTGAGATATGAGGAGGATGTGCGATTATTAAGAAAATGGGATTTATGTGCTTAATATTGAATTGATGAAGTAAGAGTGATTTAGAATCATACAAATTTTATCAAATGTGATATTAGACAATCTTAGTGTGACGGATTAAAAAGAAAAGATGAGACAATCTTAACGGGACGGATGAAGTATAAAATACATATAGACCATACATCTATCAAATCAAGTCATACTCGATCGACCATAAAATAGATGAAATCAGAACAGACCGTAAAATTTCAATCCAATTTAAAACACCCTAAGAGGGAGTGGAAAATTTTGTTTCAACTAAAAATAACGTTCGAGTCCTTTTAACGGTTTTAATAGGTGAAAACATTGTTTCACAAATAAGGTTTGCATTTTGAAATATGGCATTATTTACCAATTGCTAGTTGCTAGTTGCTACGGTCAAAACTTAAATTACCATACACTTCTTTAAACGAGCTGCAGACATGATCACATTCTGCCACTAACGTGATTTGGTCCTAACTTCAATTGTCGTCGACACTCCTATCCAACGACGCCACGATGGTTGGTGGCTCGACGGCTACTGGAAACGTTCAACTCCCCCCTTCGTCACCGGACTGTGAACTCGTTCCTGGTAAATGACTAAACCCTCAGTTTTGTGTTAATCAGTATGACGGCGCTTCAGTATTCAGTTTTTATCAAGTTCGACATTTAGTTTAGAGTGTTTCGTAATTTGTCAAATCAGGGCGTTTCACCAAAAATGGATTTAACAATAATATAGGTGAACGATAAAATAAAAGTTAATCAATCTAATGTTTACTTTGGGGATAATAATTCATCATATATTTAATTTGAATGATTTAGGTCAAATAATGGGATGGATTAAAGTTAGTATTAAAGAACTATTCTAGCTATTTTTCATATATATTTTCCTTAATTTTCATATTAAAATATATTTTAAATATTTTGTTTTACAATTAAGCAATTCCGGTCGCCTTAGCCAAGACTTCATTTAATTTTGTGAGATTCAATCGCCCTATTGGTTCCGCATGTTATCAAAGTGGCTCTTATTGTTTTTAATTTAACCTGGGTCAAATGGAAGTTGTCACGGTGCATTAAGTAAATCTCATGCTTACTCTAGAGGATGACAATTTCATCGTACGTTTACCTTGAATAATTTTGATTTTAGTTAATTATTGTTTTTAATTTAACCTGGTTCCAAGGGAAGGAGGTCACTACGCATAAAAGGGAAATGGTCAGGGGTCCATGAGTTTTATGTGGTAATATAGTTTTCATTACTTCAAAGAACTATATGACAAGTATGAGTTAGATGGAAAATTATACTTCCTATAAAAGAGAACATGGAAAAAAGATGTGACAAAGATGAAGAGATGGGAAATAGTATGAAAAGGTAAGATGAAAGTAACCAAAAAATGGAAATGGAACAAATAACAAAAAACCTCCCAAAGAGGAATACTCGTCTCATTCGACTTTGCTAACTTTCTTTTTTATTGTCAAAAAAACTTTGTCACTTTCTTATTAACATTACTAATTTGTGGTTCTGTTCATTTCTGCCTCCTATGCACAAACTTCAACTACACAATTTTTACTTTTTTTATTTCTTAACTAATTCAAAGTTGTCAAAGAAGATATGTTTAAGAGTAAATATGGAGAGTATGTTTTTTGAAAATATTAAGAATTTATTGCAGTTACATAAGAATACATATTTAAGAACTCTGTATGCAGCTCTTTGATTAATTACCCAATGTTAAATTTTAAAATTATTCTCCATATCATATAGACTATTTGAGGATATATATACATGCAACGTGCTATACACCAAACATGGGGTAAACACGCATTACCAGCACAGGGTAGCGGCTTCTTGTGTGAACCTGGCCCGTAACTACCGTCATTTACGTTTTCATCATTTTGTCGGGTTGGGGGTGGGGGCGTCTGGGGTGGGTGATTTCACCTTTTCGGATTAGAGTAAATACACATTTTCCAATATACATTTATACGGAGTATTACTAATTGTTTTTTGAAACAGAAACGTAGTCTTGTGATAAGTAACGGAAGAATCCAAGAAGAAAGTAGTAGTTTATTAATGAAAATTTAGTGAAGGAATACAGAAAGTCACGAAAGGAAAGGTTTGAGACTCTTCGAGCGGTCTCTCACTCCCAATATCCCAGTCCTGATCCCAAGTTCTGTCCCCTCATCTACTCACCACTCACCCTTATTTATTCTATTTCTAATGGGTCAGCCCACTTCTAATAAGTTACAGGGCCTAAACCCTATTATTGAACAAAATTAAAATGACTTAATAAGGCTCTAATTATTGGTAGTGTTCAGGTCCCTAACATCACTCCCCCCTCGAACTTCCACCTTGTCCTCACGGTGGATGATAAGAGACTGATTTGGCATTTGCTTTCAGCAGGTTTGCAGCTTCATCCCGTTCATCTAGCTGATCTTCTGTTCCCTGCACTTCTTCTGGCTCTTCCATCAAGATAAATTGATAATGTTTCATTCCACAAACATGTTCTTTGCTCCATTTATTTCCACATTTGAAACATAAGCCCTTTTTACTTCTTTCCTCTAACTCTAATTGTGTCAACCTTTGGCCTCCCTCCGGCCGGAAGCGTCTGATCAAAGCTTCCTTAAAATTACCCCAGGCGTGGTCATCGGTCTGTTCATCCCACCATTGGTACCAATTCAGAGCTTTTCCGGCCATGGCTATCAAGATTATTTCTACTTTATCCTCTTCTGCCACATGGTTGAGTTTGAAATAGCGTTCAGCCCTGATAAGCCATCCATATGCATCCTCTCCATCAAACAGAGGTATATCCACCTTTCTTCCGGTATAAACCCGGTCGTTAATTCTTGTATGCTCAGGAGCACAATAAAGGATTGAGAATCATGAGGGTTACCTCCGGAATTGGACGAACTCACGCTCGCAGAAGTCTGGCGTCGACGATTGGTGGTCGATCGTCCTCTTCTTCTCTTGTGACTGCCCTGGACTTCGAGACTTTGCATCTTCTCTAGCAACAACTGTACTTTTTCGTTCATCAAAGCTTTCATCTCAGCGCACATATCGGCCATAGATCGCTCCAGCGATATCTCCAAATTATTTATCCGCTGCTCCATGTTCGATCGAGTGAAGACCATACAAAGGTGCAGCGATCGTAGGCTTTGATACCAATGATAAGTAATGGAAGAATCCAAGAAGAAAGTAGTAGTTTATTAATGAAAATTTAGTGAAGGAATACAGAAAGTCATGAAAGGAAAGGTTTGAGACTCTTCGAGCGGTCTCTCACTCCCAATATCCCAGTCCTGATCCCAAGTTCTGCCCCCTCATCTACTCACCACCCACCCTTATTTATTCTATTTCTAATGGGCCAGCCCACTTCTAGTAAGTTATAGGGCCTAAACCCTATTATTGAACAAAATTAAAATGACTTAATAAGGCTCTAATTATTGGTAGTGTTCAGGTCCCTAACATCTTGTGAGAGTGGGTGAATGCAAAAGTAATCACAGTATGGATGAATTGCTTTTATGTAAGGGTGTATTTGAATTTGCACTACCTTTTCAAAATAATTAATCCTTGCGTTCTAAAGATTAAAGTATGCTTGCCATTTTTTAAATTGGAGTTGCATTCCCATTTTAACTGATTTTTTGAACTACAAATGCAAATGATAATGACTTCTAAAATGGGGTGCAAACTCAAATATGAACATCAAAACGAGTACACCTCAAGTCCAATTCTCTCTTTTATTTATGACATGTTTTTATGATGATCAGTGGCAGGTCGTGATGATGTGCCGAAAGGAGACAAACTGGTCTTAAGGGGGTTAAAATTTCACGGGTTCCATGGAGTGAAGGCTGAAGAAAGAACTCTGGGCCAAAAGTTTGTAGTGGATATGGATGTCTGGATGGACCTTAGACCAGCCGGCAAGTCTGACCGGTTGTCAGATACACTCAGCTATACTGATATTTACCGGTGAGTCAGCAATAACCATTCTCCCTTTATTTTTCAAGTAACCTTTAAATAGTACTTCAACTGTTAATAGATGTAGTAGTAATAGTTATGTAAAGATGAAGTAAATGGATGAGCATAGAGAGTTCAGTGGTTGCCCACTTATGCTAGATCAATTCGGAGAATAAAACAGATGAAACTATTTGAAAGGACTTTAGTGTTTAAGGCAGTTACTTTAAGTTTTTCACAGTTCACCAATAGCTAAGGCTGTGTGTTGCATGCCATTGGCTACAGGCTACCTGTGGCTTTTTTTTAATAAGCTCGAGCTTATTTCTTAAGTTTCACATAAACTCTGTGTTTTCGGTTTACAATTACAATTTAATCAGCTTTAAATTTGTGCCTTTTTAAATTTATTTTAAACATGTCTTTTGGTGTAATTTTGTATTTTAAAGTTAGGGCTTTGATCAATTTTGGAGCAATTTAAGATCCCTTTGCGAATAGAATTGTATTTTAGCAGGTTAAACTATTGTGTATTGTTAGCCGACCCTAAACTCTATTTTGGACTAAGGCTCAGATGTTGTTCTTGAAACTAGTCCGTTTTGTTAATGTATTTGTTTAATAAAAAGTCACATATGGGTCTGGCAGCATAGTAAAAGAGGTGGTGGAGGGATCAGCACATAATCTGCTTGAAAGTGTGGCGGAACACATCTCATCGGCAACACTGAGCAGATACCCACAGGTAAGTGCAGTACGTGTTCAGGTAGGAAAGCCGCATGTTGCGGTCCAAGGATCCCTTGACTACTTGGGTGTTGAGATCATTAGATATAGAGGAATTGACACATAGATCGTCAATGCTTTGTTACCATGTTTTTCTTTCTTCCACATTCTCAAACCTTAACTGATTGTTGCAACTTGCAACTTGTGTGTGAAATGAGTATTGTATTCCTCAACTGCACTTAAGAGTCCATCTATGCTTGCACATGGATGCATAGAAAAATCTTTTCCTTTTCTGCTATATTAATTAGGAGTATTTCTAGAATGTGTTCATGGATACATCATACATGAGACACTAATTTATCAACAGTATACAGCCCATTTGTTAAGATTAAATTAGCTTAATTAATGTGTTGAATCAACTAAAATGGCTGAAGTTGCTATGCTAACTAGTTACTGAAACTGTTGAACTTGTACTTGAGAGCAGTTTTAATAATCATTGTAATTGGATAAATGTGGCATCGCACCCAGATGTACTTGAAATTAAAATTCAATATTATTTAAATTTCCTAGCGAATAATTGTGTGTAAAAGCATGATGGATTTAATTAATGAATGATTAATTAAATTATTTATCGGGCCCATAATATTGAGAATGGGCTACCAAATATTTAATTGGGTCATCATAATAATTATAGAAGCCCAATAAAATGCAAACTAAAGTTAAGGAAAGTGATTGAGCAACCCAAGTCCTATATTGATCATTATTGCTAAAAATCTCTGTTCTAAAAATCATTCTAGGCGTCCGACTAGTCCCCGCCTAGGCGCTAGGCGGTGGTCGGGCGTCCCGATTTTCGTCTAAGCTCTCCGACTAATTGGTTTGACGTTTTGGTGAATTAGTCGGCCGCCTATGGTGTCTAGTTGCCCGCCTAGAGCGTCTAATCGGCCGCCTAGGCCGTCTAGATTCACCGAACATTACTTTACTTTTTAGTTTTAATTTTCTAAGTGTATATACTTGTATGTATTTCAAAGAATTGGGGAAAGTTCTAAACGTATGTATCACCCTATGTTTGGTTCTTATACTTGAAACGTTAGTTATTCTACATTTAGCCTACTGCTTGCCAGTATTCATGTACTGACCCCTTCAGGCCCACCCACCATTTTCAGGTTGAAGGTAGAGCTTGCTACCTACCCTTTGCACGTAGTGTTGGACCGGTATCGGGCCGATCGGCCCGTGAACTTGACCAGCCCGCTACTGTGCAGGCCTGACCCGGCTCGGGAGTCGGGTACCGATTCCGAGCCTAGGACCGGCTCGGGGAGTTAGGGTGGGGCGGTTCCGGGCTGCCCTTCCTTTGGAACCGGCCCATCCGGGCCGGGCCCGGTTCGGGCCTTTTTTTTATGTTTTTGTTTTTTCAATTTTTTTTGTTTTCCCTAGATGGGCCGAGTGTTTGGGGGGGTCGGGGTTAATTAGAAAAGCAAAAAAAATAGGACCGGCCCGGACCCGGTGGAAACCCGGGCCGGTTCCGGGCCTTCCCCCAACAATAAAATGCCCGCCCAGGACCGGAGCCCGCCCAGGACCGGAGCCCGGCCCGGCCCGGAACCGGTCCATGGCTATTTGCATGGGTGAAATGATCTCAAGGAAGACGTGGTTCGTGCTACCTTTACTGTTTTGAAACAATAAACTATGCTCCTGGATAGTTTATAATGAATACTTTATTTTGGGCCTGCGAGCCCACGTTTTGCCATATGTAGCCCATGATTGACTATTGAATACTTCCGCTATTTACTCTATCTTAAGTGTGATGTTTGTTATGTATGTTTACTTATTGGGTATAGTATGAACTATGTTCATGAACGCCTTGTACAATCAAGTGAATATGACTTGCGGGTGACGTCACTTGACTGTGCGTGTAACATTTGAGATTAATTTAAATGGATTGATAATACTACTCATATCAACAGATGTGCATCTTCTTTTAAGTGAGCTCATCACCCAAGAACTCCAAAGTTAAGCGTGCTTGCACGAGAGTGATTTTGGGATGGGTGACCCTTTGGGAAGTTTCTCAGGGCGCACACGAGTGAGGACAAAGTGCTCAAAAAAGGTTAGTGGCGGTTTGTGAAAACAGTACTAGAGGGCAGAAGTAATCGTCTCGGGTTTTGCGGGGTCGGGGTGTTATAGGTGGTATCAGAGCAACTCTGCGACAGTGTGAGGACAAAGTGCACGGAAAAGGCTGGTGACAGTTTGTGAGGGTGTTACTGTGCGGCGGTTGTACACGCACGTAGATGCGGTGTGGGGTGTGACACACCTGATGTGCTTTTATGGCACCCACTATGGGAGGTCAATGGAGGTCATTAATTGGTCCGTCAAATTGGTAGCTCAATAATGGGTGCTGACAAAAAAATTGTGACTAACCAATCAAAAAAGGCCATGTGGCTTTTTATTTAGCCAACCTCATCAAATATTCCCCAACTCTCTAATTTCATTTATTATTCCTTAAATTTAATTAATGAAAAAAAATTATACCAAAAAAATAATTTTTTTCCTCCATAAATAGACACCAATGAAGGATATTTTTAGTCACTTAGAAATTTTCCACTTCTTTCCCTCTTGCATCTTATTTTATCTGTTTTAGAATATTTTTCTTCAGAAAATGGATCCAACTCATTCTCTTCCTAAAATTTTCGGCCAACAATAAATAATTATAGTGTGTCAAATGTGGATTTTATATTCCTTTTTCAAATTATATAAATTAATAATGGTGGAATATACCAAAAATATGGAGAGAGAATGTACAAATTTTAAGTGACCTAGATCACCGTGGTGGGGGGAAGTGTGATAAGTTAGAGGGGATTATGTTTTTGGTGAGAAATGATGTGGAAGGGAGAGGAGGGGGTCAAAAGCTATCAGCATTATGGATGCTCTTAGAGTCATTTCATATAAACTTGAATTGTGGACACCATTACACAATCCATATCTTGATTACTATAAACTATGCAATGAATAACGCAGCAGAAAGTGCAGGAAAACGCAGCAAAAGTGCAGGTAAGAACGCAACAAAAATGCAGAACTTGAAGGGAAGAGCATTGGAATAACCTTGATTGACATATTAACGAACACTCAGTGTTCGATATGAACTTGTGCAGACCATAATCACAATCAAAGTGTTAATTAAAATAAAATATGAAGCAACAAACGGAGCAAAAAGCAGTCAACAAAACACATAAAACGTGGGAGTATTTTGGATTTATAAATTATGGAGTAAAAAAGACACATAAGAATCTCATGCTCACCTACGTAAAACTCAAACATTGTAGTACATTTTAATAACATGGGAATAACGTCTGAGGATGAAATATAAAAAATGTAATAGTGAAATCATTAAGCAAAGGACAAGGCGCAAGGAAGAATGCATAAATAGCACATATGGACATAACATAACATACCTAAAAGGTTGATTATCAACTATCGTGAGAAGGAGATAAATGGAAGTTGAGGTTAAAATCTAACTAAACCTAAAATCACAATTAATGAATTGATGACAAACACTACATTTTCTTCAACGGAGGGAGAGGAGAAGGATTCATGCGATGCGTCGTAAAAAAGTAAAACCTTGTGTGGCTGAAGAGACGATATAGCAGACAACCTTAATAGATAAATAGGCGATATAGCGTAAACGAACTTAACACGTCATCTATAAAGCTAGACGGTGAACTCTAAAATTTGGAACGACAAATGTATGAGATACTCCAACATCACATGGCATTATACCTTATAGCGTAGCTTGAGCATTAAATAACAAAAAGTGACCTTTATTAAGATGACTTGAGATGTCTTATTTGCACAAACAAAATAAAAACATACTAAAAAAATGTTATTTGTACTCACTCTTATACCCACCCACTTTTATACTCATTCTGTGACAAGTTATTTTTTGTATGTGAATCGTTCATAGAGAAAAGTTGTGTCTCTCACAGTGTGACAGTGATGGGTATAAGAGTGGGTATATGGTGAGTATAAACATCATTTTTCTAAAAAGATAATGTAAAATTAGTTCTTCCTCTACTCCTCGTCAGAGAATATTTCTAATTTTCTATCATATCCCATGTATATTGTTTAAATTACTATCAAATATTTATTTTTAGTTTCAAAGTTCACACTTATTGTAACAAACCTGATTGAATTTTAAATTAAAGTTTGAAGACAAAATCCAATTTCATGAGCAATAAATTCACCAAATTTAATTAGAATTTTTTACTCATGGAATGGACTTGGCAAGATGGGACTCTGTCAATCTCGATGGACCCAAATTAGTAATAGTAAACTCTCGAATTATTACCCTAAATGGGACTAAAGTATTACCGAAATTCCTAAATGGCACTATGCATATTTTTCCCCCCTAAATATGACTGAATTACATATTTACCCCTTTTTTTTTCTTTCTGTACGGGTACACACATCTCCTCCCCTGCGCACCTTCTTATCCCTCCCCCTACGCACTTCTTCTCCACACATCCCTTTCCCACATATATTCTTCTCTCCCCGCACATCTTCTTCTCTCCCCCCCCCCCCTACGCACCTTCTTATTCCTTCCCCACACATCCCCTTCTTCCCCTGCGCACAACAACAACCAAACCTAGAAGCTCAATCATAGCCATCGTCGTCACCGATGCGAAGTCCGCCGCCGGAGATCTTCTTCCCTTATTCTTCTCTTGTTCTCTCTTCCCCTATTAATGGCATTTTTCTTTCAAAATGCCATTAAGATGGCATTCTCGAATCATTTTGGCATTCACGCTGGCAACGACTAGATCTACAACGACAGAGGCCATATTTGCAGTTGCAGTTGCCGGATTAGCTGTGACGGTGGCCGGATCTGCAAAGGCAGCGGTTGGCGGCCGGCGGTAACCGGCGACCGGCGGGGTCTGGGGTTTGTCGTCAATTGTGGCAAGTTTCAGGGGCTTATCTGTCCAACTATAAATAATAAGTCCCATTTGAGGAAATTTTAAACTTTACTCCTAGTTTAACAATTAAAGATGGATTGACTCTGCACTTATAACATTTAACATTAGATTTTGGTGTAGCTAATACGGATTACGGATCCAAGTCATCCAATCACCGATCCAAATTACATACACAAGTTGACATTTGACAAACGACCGGCCTCCCCATCTCAGGCCTCCTCCTCCATCACCACCGCCACGCTTTACTGTAAGA